AATTGTCTGCCTGTAACTGTGTGTGTGTGACTGTCTGCTTGTAACTCTGTGTGTGTATGTGTGTGTAATGAATATTTATATTATAAATCAATATTTATTTAATAAATCCCCTATACAATCACTACACTTCTATCTATACACACACTATACATGATGACGGGGGGAGGGGTGGCACTGCGAAGATGTTCCGCACAGAGCACCTAAAGGCTTAAGGCTGGCCCTGCTCCTGAATCCTCTGCCAGAAGCACTCAAATATAGTATCCAGACGCTGCAAGACAGAGGAATAGAGAGTGGATGTATGCAGGCCCAGCTGTCCAGGAAAGGGGCAGCTGCCATCTTGATTGTACGGTGCAGGATGTATACCTTCAACAATCTAAAGGCAAGGACACAGGAGCGACCAGTAGGGACCGGAATATCCCTGGCCGGTCCAAAGGTAGGTGCTTAGTAAGACTGAGAGTGCCGCTTCTCCCCCGCACTGACCACAGAAGGCCGCAGAAAAGTGGTGTATCTGGAGTCCCCGGTGTATGCCAGGCGCGATTCAAGTATCAGGGCGGTCACCCACTTAACTCGATTAAAGCCCTGCAGAGAATATGGCTGCTGTGTAAGTGAGGTAAAAAGCCCCAAATCTTTGCAAGGTGCAGGAGCTCAAGCTAAACACATCTGCATTGTCTGGAAGTTAGGCTCCACGCCCGACTAAATATCATTATTTTTGTATAGCTGCTAAACTGAATATTCTGTAGTATTTTCTCGTGGATATAGCCATGGTCAGATCAAGTTGTGACTGGAAATTCAAAGGTGAGTGCTATGCTTAAAAAAGACAAAACAAATATTACAACCAAGAGCTATAAAATGTTTTTTCAGTTTAAGTAGTTCTACCTGCAATGGGAAATAACCCCAAAACAGTGTACTGTAAAGTTTTATCTGGGGCAGACATGGGTTTATACAGATAGTTATTCAGAAGAGGATTCACTAAGATAAAGTTTCTGCTCCAAACTAAGCTAAAATTTTATTTTTGTAAGGTTTAATTCACACTTCAAAATATGGACATTTTAATGCAAATTATATTATTCTAAGGTAACTGCATTTTAAAAAAATTTAATAAAAAAAGTAAATATTTTATGTCAATTTAACAGCTATTATAAGGTATTACATGTTATTATATCAGTAACTTAGTGACATAATGAAAATGTATTATTCCAGTAATATAATGGCACACGTAAAATTTGACTCAACTTGAATAACATACAGTTACTGAAACTTTCACTTAGTGAAATTTACATTTTACTCTTTATTCTCTTTTACTTATGTATTGTAAGAAATAATATGAGTTACATATTATATAACTGTCTGTGGTTGTTTAGTGTACAGAAGCACATTATTTCAATACAGTGGGGTTCCTAAAGAAATAGAGATGTTAACAGACTTTGATGAAGGATTAAAAAGGAAAATGTAAAAATATCACATACTAAGCAGTGAAGTGCCACATACTGAGTAGGTTGATGATAATATACAGACTGTCAGATTGTACAATAAAAAGAAGATGAAAAGACATTTATTTTTTTTGAATACTAAAAACAACTCTTACCTTTATAAACAAGAAGTAACATATGAACTCAAGAGACTTTACAATATTCAATGCTTGATACATGTAGATCAAAGTACATTGTTTAAATATCTGTTGCTACAATTTTAATTCCTACCAGGCAGATTTTTGGAAAAAGCCGCACAAACATTTAATCTGATAAAAAAAAAAAAAAAAAAAAATCTCTATTCTCGGAATGTTTAGCCTACAGGCTGTCATGATAGGATAAAATGACAAGTTGTCTAACGAAACTGTGCAAATGCACAGATTTGAAAAATACATGATATGCAACAGTAAAATAGATTATATTGCAGCAGATCATTAATGTGAGTATTCAAAACACAAAGGGGGTTCTCTACTTCTAGTTTTGTTTTGTTTTTCTCTCAGGCTCCTGCTATTTTCTCTGCTCTTTGCCTATCCTATCTTTTCAAGACTCCGTAGGTCTGTTTCTTAGATATTAATTGAGCTCTATAGCTTAATATTATTATTCTTTTATGAAATATAAGAATGCAAGGGATTCCATGGGGTTATCGCCTATTTTTATGCAAAAGTCTTACTTGTTTTTTGCTTTATTTAGTCAAATTTAGCAAATTCTTTGGAAGAAAATTGGATGTTATATTCTTTACTAAATTGTTTCTTATTGATAAAGCTATCTGTTATGTGTTATCTGTACAGCTATTATGACATGTGTTAAGTGTACAGCTTTTATACTGCTTTTATGTATTATTGTACCTCTTGAATAAACATATTTGAAATAAATATTCAGGGTTACGTTGTGTCAAGTGGCTGAAATAGTAGAGTGGTAAATGTCGGATTTTTTTTTAGATAGATTGTCTCAACAGACCATCAGATTGGCCCAGCATAGCAATGTCTTCCTGAAAGCATTTAATTTGCTAAAATCAACAGTGACTAGCTTGTTCTAATAAAAGAGACAGAGCTTCCCTTATAAGATACTGGCATTGCAAGAAAAAAAAAAGTAAAACACCTCTTTAACCCCTTAAGGACACATGACATGTCTGACATGTCATGATTCCCTTTTATTCCAGAAGTTTGGTCCTTAAGGGGTTAAACCATGTCTATGCTGACTCGATCACCTAAATGGCGACTTGAGCAGCCATTTATGAACATAACTTTAACACAATTTATAACTTTTGGTCTAAACAGTTATCTGTAATGTTGCATGCTAAATTTTGTCCAATCGCACATACAGTTGATATTCAGTGAAAAGTGATTCTTTATTAGAGAACATTATACATACATGGCAGGGGTTTATACCAATTAGTGTAAATAAGTTTAGTTAAAAAACAAAACTAATATAAAATCCAAACAGCTGTTTAGAAAGTGCTGATAGAGGCAAAATCAGGGCTCGAGTCCTGCAGGAACGCATGGGAACGGCGTTCCTGCACTTTTTCCAAAGCAGGAACGCCGTTCCCGCTAGTGATCCTGCAGGACCGGCCCTGCTACCTGCACAGAGGGGCCAGCACACGCTGTGTTCCCTCTCCAGCTATAACTCTCGCGAGACCCGCGGCTGTTACCATGGCAACGCTCCGCACAGGCGAGTCTCGCGAGAGTTAGAGCTGGAGAGGGAACACTGCGTGTGATGGCTCCTCTGTGCAGCGGCTGGCTCCCTCCACCGGACCACCAGGCGATCTCCCCCCTCCCTGACAAGGTAAGAAGCAGGGAGGGGGGATAAATACAAATTATACATAAAGTAAAAAAATGCTTCCCCCCCCACACACACCATCCAGCACTCACACACCCATCATCCAGCACACACACACCCATCATCCAGCACACACACACCCATCATCCAGCACACACACACACACACACACCCATCATCCAGCACACACACACCCATCATCCAGCACTCACACACCCATCATCCAGCACTCACACACCCATCATCCAGCACACACACACCCATCATCCAGCACTCACACACCCATCATCCAGCACACACACACCCATCATCCAGCACTCACACACCCATCATCCAGCACACACACACCCATCATCCAGCACTCACACACCCATCATCCAGCACACACACACACCCATCATCCAGTACTCACACACCCATCATCCAGCACTCACACACCCATCATCCAGCACGCACTCACACACCCATCATCCAGCACACACACCCATCATCATCCAGCACTCACACACCCACATCATCCAGCACTCACACACATCATCCATCACTCACACACCCATCATCCAGCACACACACACATCATCCAGCACACACACACCCATCATCCAGCACACACACACACCCACCATCCACAGCACACACACACACACACATCATCCAGCACCCACACACCACCATCCAGCACACACACACCCATCATCCAGCACACACACCCATCATCCAGCACACATCATCCGCAGCACACACACCCATCATCCAGCACACACACCCATCATCCAGCACACACACACACCCAAATCATCCAGCACACACACACAACACACCCATCATCCAGCACCCCACACCCATCATCCAGCACCCACACACCCATCATCCAGCTAACTCCTCACACACCCATCATCCAGCACACACACACACCCATCATTCAGCACTCACACACACATAATCCAGCACTCACACACCCATAATCCAGCACTCACACACACGTCATCCAGCGCGCACACACACCCATCATCCAGCACTCACACACACATCATCCAGCACACACACACACGTCATCCAGCACCCACACACACATCATCCAGCACTCACACACACATCATCCAGCACTCACACACACGTCATCCAGCACCCACACACACATCATCCAGCACTCACACACACACATCATCCAGCACTCACACACCCATCATCCAGCACTCACACACACACATCATCCAGCACACACACACACCATCCAGCACACACACACCATCCAGCACTCTCACACACATCATCCAGCACACACATCATCCAGCACTCACACACACATCATCCAGCACACACACCCACCATCCAGCACACACACACACACACACACCCATCATCCAGCACCCACACACCCATCATCCAGTACCACACACACACACCCATCATCCAGCACACACACACACACCCATCATCCAGCACCCACACACCCATCATCCGCAGCACCTCACACACCCATCATCCAGCACACACACCCATCATCCAGCACTCACACACCCATCATCCAGCACTCACACACCCATCATCCAGCACACACACACCCATCATCATCCAGCACTCACACAACCATCATCCAGCACACACACACCCATCATCCAGCACTCAAACACCCATCATCCAGCACACACACACCCATCATCCAGCACTCACACACCCATCATCCAGCACACACACACCCATCATCCAGCACTCACACACCCATCATCCAGCACACACACACCCATCATCCAGCACTCACACACCCATCATCCAGCACACACACCCATCATCCAGCACACACACCCATCATCCAGCACACACACACACACACACCTATCATCCAGTACTCACACACCCATCATCCAGTACTCACACACCCATCATCCAGCACTCACACACACACACCCATCATCCAGCACTCACACACACATCATTCAGCACTCACACACCCATCATCCAGCACTCACACACCCATCATCCAGCACACACACACATCATCCAGCACTCACACACCCATCATTCATCACTCACTCAAACACACATCATCCAGCACTCACACACACATCATCCAGCACTCACTCACACACACATCATCCAGCACTCACACACACATCATCCAGCACTCACTCACACACACATCATCCAGCACTCACACACACACACATCATCCAGCACTCACACACACATCATCCAGCACTCACACACACATCATTCAGCACACACACACACACACACATCATTCAGCACACACACACACGTCATCCAGCACTCACACACACGTCATCCAGCGCGCACACACACGTCATCCAGCGCGCACACACACATCATCCAGCACACGCTGCATTCATTATACACACTCTTCACTCACTACAAACACACTACATTCACTATACACCCTCTGCATTCACTATACACACTCTGCATTCATTATACACATTCTGCACTCACTACACACTACATTCACTATACACACTCTGCATTCACTACAAACACACTACACACACTGCATTCATTGTACACACTCTGCACTCACTACAAACACACTAAATTCATTATACACAATTTGCACTTACTACAAACACACTACATTCATTATACACACTCTGCACTCACTACAAACACACTACATTCACTATAAACACTCTGCATTCATTATACACACTCTGCACTCACTACAAAAACACTACATTCACTATACACACTGCACTCACTACAAACACACTACATTTATTATACACACTGCACTCACTACAAATACACTACATTCATTATACACACTCCGCACTCACTAAAAACACACTGCATTCATTATACACACTCTGCACTCACTAAAACACACTGCATTCATTATACACACTCTGCACTCACTACAAATACACTACAATTATTATTCACACTGCACTCACTGCAAACACACTACATTTATTATTCATACTCTGCATTCACTACAAACACACTACCTTCATTATACACACCCTGCACTGCACTATATGCATAGGAGTGTAATTTAAAAAAAAAAAAAAAAAATTTTAAGGAGGTGTGGGGGGGAGGCGGGAATCTTGGGTGAGTTCCCACACCTTTTTCCCCAGGACTTGACCCCTGGGCAAAATACATCCAGTTAAGTTTGTTTATTCTTATGTTTTTTTTCTTCTGCCTCTCCCCCGCCTACTTTTTCAGTTGGGTAAATAATATTTGTTTTTAACTATACTTAGCTACTTAGCTACACTAATGTGGTCTGCACCACTGCCAAGTATGTATAATTTTAAAAAATATATAATCATCACTTTTCATGGGATCTCCACAGTATGTGTGATTCGTTACCATATGGGTGTGGTTTTGACTTTTGTACTGTGCAATGTCAAATTGACGAAGAGTGGAACCAGCACTGCTGGTGTCTATTTGAGTCTTCATCTTGCTTCTTCTGTATAAGCTCTCAATACTTTACCTGTGCATGTGAGCTCAAATTTGTCGCTCCCTTTTAACCTGCGATGTGCAATAACACAATTTATCATGTCATCGGGAGTTACTACAAAGGTTTCAACAAAGGAAGTTGCAGTTTAATTAACATAATTCATAAGTTTATAGAAGATAATTGAAAATTGAACTGTACGATCTTGCATCACATGCTCTGAGCAGAACTTGAGGCTGGTCATTTGATCCCTTTTTTTTTTTTTTACTTTTTACAATTTTGCTTTTATGCTAATATTTCTGAGTGGAGTATTGCACAAAGGAATTCTGTATACTGCCTAAAGCTTTTCATTCCCTCAATATTTCTATAAAGGATGGATTAAATAAATTAATGCAATAATCATGCAATTATGTGCTAGCTAGTCATCAAATATTTCAATGATGGTTATGTTAGTAATAGTTTTGAAAATTAAAAGTGCTTGCTATTGTTGGTGTCAATACTGATTGAGTTGTAAAGCAAAATTATAACCCTGACGTATACCACTATCACAATGGATAAATAAATAATGCTCTCTCCTTTGAAAATATGTCTTTTAAATTTCTAGTATTAGGTGTGGGGTCATATATATCTCATGTTATCATAGTAACCTCATATACTTAGCTATACTCTGGGGTCAGATTACTTTGTACTTATTGTGCTCTTGTTCTTTCTTTCCATCTGCTTATGTATCCTATATGAAAAAAATATATGTGATGAAGAAATGCATACTATGAAAATAATAAGAAAAATGTTAAAACGAAGTACGAGCTTGGGGTAATTAACAATGTTAAGCAAGCCCATAATGCAATTTCTAAAATTGTCTTTGACACAAGGAGCACAAATATACACATTTAAATAAAATGTAATTATATTTTAATCTTTTCATGAAAATAAATTAGCAAAACTCACTAGAAACATAGAATGTGATAGCAGATAAGAACTATTCAGCCTATCTAGTCTGCCCAATTTTCTAAATACTTTCATTAATCTCTGACCTTATCTTATAGCTATGATAGCCTATGATTAATGCTTAAATTTCCTCACTGTGTTTACCTCTACCACTTCAGCTGAAAGTCTATTCCATGCATCTAATACCCTCTCTGTAAAGTAATACTTCCTAACATTATTTTTTTTAAATTGCCCCTCTAATTTAAGACAATGTTCTTTTTATTTTAAGTTTGGATAAAATTATAGTTTTACCATGTACTGAGACAATGAAGAGCTGCTTACCAGTCTCTGTATAGGTTATAGGATTGAGATATGCTTGTCTTTCAAGTATTTGGAAACATAGGGAAACTTTAATTTTAGTTTGCATATGTACGCTTTTTAAATAATTAAATATAAATAAAGATGTTAAAAAATCTGAAGCATATCAATGATTTTGCATTTGATATGTGATTTATGTAACTCTTTTTTTTTCACTGTATACTGATGAGCCAAGGTCATGCTCATCAAATCTTTTGGTGTGTGGATCCTCAACTGAGTCTGAGCCTATGCTTAGTATGAGAGATTGCCACATTTTTATTATGAATTCTTTAAAAAAACAGTGTCTCCACTCAATTACTCTATTTATCAAGGAATTGCATTAATCAAACTGATTGCCCCAGTTACGCAATCCGCTCCCGCTGCAGATAAACACAGTGAAGCCCTAGCAGCACCTTCAGTTACTGAGGGCCATACTGTTTCAATTACTTCCTTGATGTCTGAGGAACAGAAAGAGAGCCAGACCATCGCAGTAGTGAAGTCCTGAGTTATACCTCTAACTCAAACACCCTGATCCCACATCAGTCTTAACCAGGACTTTGAGCTGTGTCACTTTTTTTTAACAATAGTTATTCTATTAGTGCTATTATGGCCTTTTAATAAGATGCTTTATAGAATTTTATATTTGAGTTGGAGGTAAAAATATCAGGACTTCAAGCTGTCTCACTTGTATTATATGGCACTTTTATTAGCACTATAGAGCTATGACACTCTTCCCCAATGGTGCTTTTATCATCATGAAACTTTGCACACATTTTTATTGGCTTTTTATTTTAAGTTGGGGTAATATTATAGTTTTACCATGTATAATACTTACCTTCTTTTTTGCCACATTGGATGTAGAGTATTATAGTATCATTTAGATGTTACATTTGTCAGGATTGATCAAGCACGCAGAACTGTGTCACATCTAGGACTAAGGATAACGTATAACCTGACCTGCCGAGGTCAGGAACACAGAATCAGACACAACGATGAGGGAAAGCCAAAAGTCAAGGATACCAGAATTCAGGGAAGTCAAAATGAAGCCAAAGTCAGATACCAGAAAATCAAAATCAGGAACGCACTCTCAGATTACCATCAGGTTGAAACCACGACAGGGAAATGAGCAAAAGGAGAATTGGGTCTAAATACCCCATGATTGCTGCTCAGCACAAACTCTCCTGTGGATCTGATTGGCCATGACTGGCCTTTGAGCCCAAAAGCAATTACCAGGTTACCAAGTGCATGATTGCTGCTTGGCACAACTTTTCCTGTCAGGACGGTAATGCTGCTCGTCACAACTTTTCCTGTCAGGACGGTAAATGCCATTAACCACATTTTTATGTGCGGATGAATACGTGACAACATTAACTAGTGTTAATGTTGTCACGTATTCATCCGCACATAAAAAGGTGGTTATGACAGTTTATATGTATTCAGTACTATACTGCAGTTAAGATGAATAAGTTGTCAATGGGATGCAGTAAGCACTCTATACACATGTGCCTTGTATCAGACATGAACGAGATCCTGCGCATCTGTGTTGTAATGGCAGAATGCAGCAATACAAGTCATGCATTCCAATGACGCAATAAGCATGACAATGCAGTGGAATGCACGATGCGTTCAAGACAGAAAGGATTAGACCCGGAAGAGAGTTGCCAGCAGGCTTTAAAAAAATATGGTCATCATACTGACTGAGGAAGCCTCTACTATACAGTGATATGCGTTTCGGACCACCAGAGGACTTTTCAGGCATAAGTCAAAGACTTTTAATAATGATGCTTTTTATTGCTTTTTTTTTTGCTTTTATCTATACCCAATAAAGGATTTTTATTGAAAAAAAGTCTCAACATCTGTTCCCACTTAGAACATCTACCAACCCAAACAGGGGACGGATCGAGAGGGGACGGGGACAACCTATAAGAGTCCCACTGCACTTTCCATGAGCGCCGTATGTGTTATTTGGCTCCATGTTTGTGAGTAATACCATTTACACTCGATATATATCACGTTCTATAGGCTTTTATTGCACTATCTTGCAATTTTCTTATTTCTCTACAGAAATAAGCTTCAGATGCTCCATTTATTGTATGTATGACTACCAATGGTAAAGTTATACTTATTATTGTACAATTACTTTAAATTATTTAATTTTCATTTTTAAATAGTATTGGATGATGTGTGTGTAGAGTTGAGTGGACACCTAGATGTTCGGGTTCGGCAGGTTTGGCCGAACTTCGAAAAAAAGTCCGGTTCGGGATCGAACTTGACCCCGAACTTGACCCCGAACCCGAACCCCATTGAAGTCAATGGGGACCCGAACTTTTGGGCATAAAAATGGCTCTAAAAAAGTCTTGGAAAGGGCTAGAGGGCTGCAAAAGAAAGTAAAATGGGGTTAAGAGTAGGACAAGTGCCCTGCAAACGAATGTAGATAGGGAAATTACTTAAAATAACTTAAAATAACACAAAATAAGCAGCCGCTTAGTAGATAACTGTAACGGATCACCTGGCACCCCGACTGGGTACCTCCGTTGAAGGATGCTCCTTGCACTTCCTGAGGACTCCAAGCACTGCAGCAGACACCCCAACCACCGAACCGGGGAAGCATACAAATGGTCTCAAGCATATGAATGCTGTAAACAGATGAACAGGAAAAGCATACAATCAGCTTACACTCCTGGCAATCCGCATACAATCCAATTCCCCCAATAACGAGACGACACTTCGTTTTGAGGTCAAGCAGAACTGACTGTACTGGCACATACAGCCTCTTTTATTCACAATCCACAAACATAGTACTGCCCACAGGGTTTTGAAATACAACCAATCAATCCGTACAATACACACAGACACTCCCACACAAAATCCTCCCCTCTGCCTGTGATATGATTACTGAACACAATGGTTAATATAATTATCACAGGCAGAGAAATACAGT